AACAATGAACCTACCAGAAGCAGAAAATCTTCCACGTAGTGCGATAAAATTCCCATTTTATTATGTGGGAGATGCTGCTTTTCCGTTGACAAAACATTTGATGAGGTCATATCCGGGAAAGTGTTTGGAAGCAAACAAAGACCACTTCAATAAATGTTTATCCAGAGCGCGGGTTACAATTGAAAATACTTTTGGCATTTTAGTGGCTAGATGGCGAGTTCTCAATAATTCTTTGGATATGTTTCCCGAAAATGCCAATACCATAGTTAGAGCTACATTAATTTTACATAATTTTGTAAAGTTCCATAATGCCGAATTCTATTGTCCCAACAACTTCGTTGACCACGTAAATGAAAGYGGCATTCTAATTGAAGGGCAGTGGAGACAATTTGTAGCGCCATTACATCAGAGTACGATATTATCAACCGCTAACGCAAGACGAAGTGCTTTTGATACCCGAGATCTTCTTAAAAATTATCTCTTCTTTAATAAATAAGTAAATAATTCAATAAATGTATTATAAAAGAAATATGTCGGTTCTACGTAACCTGTATGGATTTGTATTCCTCAAAATTGTTTGCGCTGAAATAACAAAAACAACAACTACAAAATAAATAAATAACTTTGTACTTTTTTTTATATATTTGAAATGAATGGGCTTTTATTTAAAATGATAACTTATTTTGTACGATTCACCAAAAATTGGTGGAATGTTTGTGAAATTTGGAGTTGTAACTCCGACATCTCCGAGCTATTTAAATTAGCTACCTGCGCCTGCTTGGCAAGGCTTTCAAAAAATAATTGGATTGCGGATCTCTCCGTGCCACCGACTAATATTTCCTCGGCTAACGTTGTCACTCTTTGAAAGTCTCTATTCGAGCTTTCAAGTAATTCCTCAATTTTACGTTTCCGTCCAGTCTGTGTCTGTGTCTGCGTCTGCGGTGATTGAGGAAAAATATTTAGATTAACACTGCTAYAGGCGGATTCACCGAAGTCGCTGAGGAAKGAGTCGTCACCTTCAGTCGTTACGGTGCCATAATTGCCTTGTGTGCTGAAAATGCATATATAATAAATAATACAATTATACAAATAAAACAAGATTATACAAAACCTACTTCATGTTGTCCATTTCAACGTCCTTTAAAAATTTTAAGCTCTCCATCCACTTCCACTTTTTGTGTGGCGAATACACGCCGCTTCCTGATGGTCTCTTTTTTATATCTTTGTAAAATTTATCCCGTAGGGTCTGCAAACGGGCCTTTAGTTTCTCACCTAAAAACATTCAAAACATGAATAAATAAAAATTTTCTGTTAGGTTATAAAATTAAAGATTTACGTGGAGTATGTAATTTATCCGATAACTCCTGAAATTTGGCGTCCCTCAGGTAGCTATTTTTATAGTTCCTATGACTTTTGTCATAGAGGAACCGGTTTTCGCTCACAAACTCAATCAATTGTTCTTCCATTTTTTTTATCACTTTTGTTTATTTTCACTGAACAGCTGAGCGCAATTTAAAATGTTGCCGGACTTTGCTCAAAAATTAATTGTTTGAATGTTGTCAGCACTGCCTCTGCGCAGAGAAATTCAAATTTCACATGCCGTGCAGATCTGCATTGAGGTGCAGAATTTGAACTGTGAAATCAGTACAAATTTTTTTTCTGCACGCAGAATTCTGCACATGTAATTCCGGCATAAGTCACACATTATTCCCGTCCTCGTAAACATATGTATATGGTGCAGTGGCATGGACGATGACAACAACTGATGAGTCGACGTTATGAGTTTTCTTTTCTTTGCACATTGGCAACGGCGAATATCGCAGTCGACATTGTCATGGTAATTCAAGCGAATTCAAAGACAGCGGCTACACGGTATAGGTCAAGTCGTCCGAATGGACGAAAACATTCCAGCTCAGAAAGAATTCGCGGCAGTACCTACCGGGAGAAGCAGAGAAAGATTTCCAGAAAACCTGACGCAGTTGTAAGCTCGGCTGTAACCACGTAAGCGGTGTCTACGCTAATAAAGTGAAGATGCTATTATTCCACACATTAAAAAATCACCGTTTCCAGTTCTTCAGCTCCGAGATAATTTTTTTTCGTCAGTACTTGCTCTTATATTAGTTGCTAGTCAAGTATAACACAGCCCAGAACGCAATTTGCTTCTTTGAATTTATCAACTGATTCTAGGTAATTTGGGCGCGTTGAATTCAAATCAGCTCAAGTTTTCACGATATAGCTTTTTTATTTCTTTTTCAGGTCATAAGCTAACTGGAGGGTATAAAAAAGCTATATAATGAAAACTAGAGCTGATAGCGACAGAGTCCGTTGTGGTTTAACGTGATTACCTGCCAGCGAAGGCCTAACCCCACGGTGCTTTCTATTGCTAGAATGACRTAGATCAATACAATGTGTTGATCAGCGTCCCAAAGCATAAGTGCATGCACCTGCACCAGACTCTGGAGAACCAAAGCATGAGTGCTGCCACATACACTTATACTTTGGTTCCAATTGCTAGGGAAGCCGCCTTTGTCGGGTTCGAAGCCGACCTAAAACCTCTGCCGTACTCTGGATCCGGCACCCGGCCGTAATGCGACTCCACATTGGGCAAATGCCCTGCCTGTATTTATGTTTAAACCACAGCCACCACGAATCTCCCCAAAGGGCCAAACCATGAGCAGATTTTAGTTACCTCCAAGGGCTAACTGCTCCCCGTGGTACCATGTCTTTGGTATGACTTTTGTAACTTTTGGCTACTACCAGTTTGAGTTCATAGTAATCCCAACTGATGTAACTTGAACAACAAATGCCTTTATATTAGGAATTAATATAAAAACTAGAATATCATTTCAAGCTGAGTATTATAGTACTTTGTTACATTAGACCATGCTGACATTTAAAACAGATCTGTTTGTCAGACATAGTGCATGTGGATTTTAGTCGCCTCTTAGGACAGGCATGCCTTACCATGGGTATATTCGGTTCCATAATCTTCTTCAACACCTTCCCTGAATTGAATGTAAATGTTCATTACAAATGGTTTGAGTCATGTTAATCTCTTCTTTAAGGTCGCCATGTAAAAACATCCATTTGGTAAACAGTAAGGTTATATTTCACCGCGAGAGCGAGTAAAAAATTAATCGAAGTATACCGTACAACTGGTGCGAATGCATCATAATCGATGTGCTGCTTCTGGTTGAATCTCTTCACCACAAGTCTAGCTTTATAACGCACAGGATTTACCTTTCTCTTAAAAACCCATTTTGATGGAATAGCTTTATTTCCTACAGGTAGGGCTGATAGTTCCCAGGTACTATTGATATTATGAGATTAAATTTCTTCACTGACTTTCTGACTTTCTTTTTCTTGACTTGGCATCGGTTCTTCAACAGTGTTTGGATCTGATGTAAACATATTCAGTTATGCAGATATTATAATTTGGTCGTAACATATTCTGCAATCGCTCAGAACGATGGGCTTCTTCCTGATCCAAATCTGCAATTTCTTCTTCCTCAATCATTGATTCTTGGCTCTCGTTTGTATAGTAGTGGCTATTACCTGAAGTTGCATCACTGCAGTCTTCTGCTGATAATTCTTCCACCCAATCCACCCCTAAATTGGCAACTGAAGTTGGCTCAGGTAGCCATAAATTAACTGTAATTGTCTTTACATCTCTATCTGGAGGATTTTGATTAATATGATTTTCAATAAAAACTATTTCGAAGCTAACGATAATATTCTTTGATTCAGTGCTGCAGCTTACAGAAATATATCCTCGAGATATACATAGGTTTTAACTTATTGCGAATTTCTTTGGCTACGTGAATTATTGTCTTACAACCAAAGTCTTTTTATAGACCACAACTCTTCCGGACCCACATTGTTACCGCAGTTACCTCACCTTCAGCTCAGAATATATATGCATCTAGCAGCAAGCATCTGATTTTTTTCTGTTATTGTCAGATTTAGCCTCTCTGCAACGCCATTCTGTTCAGTGGTGTAGGTTTTTTGATGAATAATGCCATGTTTCGTAAGATATTTGTGAAACACTTCATTGACATATTCGCACCCATTATTCGTTCGGAGGACTTTAATATATTTCGAATATTGATTCTCCACCATTGCCTTGAATTTTACAAATTCATCGAATATTGGTGCTTTTGACTTAATCGGAATAGCAAAAACTTTTTTTGAATAGTTGTTACCAAACGCGCGCACCAGAAAGGGAGTTAACATTTAATGGACCCACTACATCGCTATGTATTATGTATTAGTTCCAAATGTTCACTGTGTGACGCTCGGGTCTGCTTGCCTTTTATCCAAATCACACGTTTTTCGTTTCCATTTGCTGTCATGTTGACACCTCCGATACGTTTTGGACCTCTGTGACGCTTTCCCGACAGACATGATTTAAACGCATATGCCATAAATTATAGCTTGCAACTCCCATCGCTGCATTATCTTGTTGTACACAATTCCATAAGTTGTTTGTCCTCGTTTAATATTTTGCACCAATTGCCTTTAAAGAGAAGCTCTTTTCCATTGTCTGTCATTCGACTCACTGAAAGTAGATTTGCACATAGCCTACGAACTTACTCAGCATTTTTGATAGTTGCACTGACATTCGTATATTTACCAGCCAGGGAGAGTGCATTCAACATTAATTTTGTTATTGTCAATGACAAATACTCTCCTTTTTCTCGTGCGTTTTCTGTTTATCATGCACTCGTTGCATTTAGGTTTTTTGCCTTTATGTAGCATTTTCACCACCTTGTTTTGCATAAAATTTTGCTTCTTTCAAAAGCACAGTGTCTACTGTGAGTATTTTCTTGGAGTTTTCGGCAGCGAGCACTAGCGCTTGAAACTCAATGGGCAACCCAGCTAACATGCGTTTAGTTCGTCATCAATTTTTAGACCTGCAAACATACTCTTACATATTCTCGCAGTCTGACAGATTAAGTTGTACCAATTGCTTGCGCGTCAAACCTTTATCCTCATAGGCTTCCATTGGCGCTTCTCATGTGTCTTTAGCTGATGTTTTATCCGCAAAGTGACCAACATTATTTCGCCCCACAAACATCGTGATTTCTGCTAGTGTTTTTTGTTTTAGCATCACAATCAGATTCGGTTGTAGTGACAGGCAAACCATTCTGGACCATTTTCCAGTGACCTTTTATGACCAAATACGATTTTGCCTGGCATTTCCAGACATCAAAATTTTCACGACCGCGAAGTCGTTCGACGGATACTGAAAAACGTGCGACATTATTTAAATCGCAAAATATATTGTAAAACAAAAGTCAATCGATTTAATTAACGCACAGAACTTTTTTTATCCGAATTTATTTATTGATGGGTTATACATATTAACTTTGTGTGGCAAAGACAAACGCGTGTTCACTTGGTCATGGTAACGGAAGAAGAACGTTTATTATAGAAGTGAACTTAACTTCTATTCATAATGACATTTGTACGTCTAGGGAATATACAAGTACAATGTGTTTCGTAAGCTTGTAAATATAAAATGTTTATTCTCAACAGTATGTAAATCTGTAAGTAAGCGGTAATGCTATTTTTTAAATTTGACATTATTGAATTGAAATTAATTCTTCAAAGAAATTTTCAAGAGAATGGCAAAGAAACCACTGACCTGCAAACATATAAAAGCATAAAAACCATTAGCGCAAACTTCGGTTGTAAGAGATTGAATAAATTTATTTCATTTGAAAAGGCGAGCGCACGTACATGCATACCTATGTATGTATGTCGTCACCTGAAGTGCAGCATAACGTAACATCACTTTTCGTATGTTTACAGAAGAAGCAAAAAACCTTATAAAAAGAAAACCACTTGAGATCTTAAAACACAATTTTCAAATCTGAATTATCATTAAGCTATAAGTATATTTTAGAAAAAAAAAAATAAGGAAAAAATTAAGCAAATTTTATGGTAGGTGTCTTACGATATTTTGAATTTCTGAAACAAAATAACGTATGATCAATCTAAACTTGTATAAAAATTAAAAATTTGAATATTAACGCTTTTTCAATTTTAAATAAAAACATTTGCAAGTTTTTTATATTTAATATTATTTTATTATTAATACAATTATGTACATACATACTAGAAAAAAGTTAAAATATTTCGAGCTTAAACATAGGATAATGTTTAATTATTATTTATTAAACAATTAATTATTGAAAAGGTATATTATCATAAAAGTAACATTCTGCTGAAATCAAAGTTTCTAGGTCCTACAGATGTTGCCATTTCTTCTTAGTTATTGTTAAACTTTGTGTGTGCAAAAAATTAGGCTGCTGAATTCCTAAAAAAGCACTGGTCTGAACACTCGGAAAACCTCACTCACTTTGACTTCATACCGGATCTCTTGGATCATGGAGTCGCTAAACCATATACCGAGAGAGATTTGGATGGGAAGCAGCCGTTGGAGAAGGGAACCATGAGCTTCTTCACGGATGGGTCAAAGCTTGTG